ATGTTGAAGGCTTGTTCCAAATACTCATACAGATTTCTTTACCAAAGACAGCAAAGCTTATTGGTCTTAGATATTTAATGAAATTTCTGTCCAATCATTATTGACCACTAAACTCACTGAAGTGAAGAGTCTAGTAACCATACATGACAAAGGATATAAACTTGACAGAATTAATTCAGAATCAAACCAACAATAATAATAAATCCAGGGAGATAGGAGAGCATCTGATTTCCAGAGTTGTCAAGTTATGTTTTTTAATGTTCAGGTTTTTTAATGTCTATAAAATTATGAAACATGCAAAAAGAAAAACATATCTGGAGGAAAAGCAGTCAATTGAGACTCCCTGGGAGAATAATGTTGGACTTATTAGACAAAGGTTCAAGTTATCTATTCTAAACATATTCAAAGAACTAAGAAAAGAAAGTATGAGAAGGAAGACTCACTATAGAAGGAGACAGAAATTATTGTGTTTTTTTAAAGACCCAAATAGAAATTCTGGAGTCGAATAATACAATTACCTAAATAAAAAATTCACTAGAGTTCAACAGCAGGAGTTGAGTGGGAAGAAGATAGAATTGATAAACTTTAAGATAGGTCAATTGAGACTATTTAGCCTGAAGAAGAGGGGGAAAAAGAATTAAAAAATAAGTATACAAAGCCTCAGAGACCCGTGGGACACCATAAGTGCATGGTGGTAGTTAGCAGAAGGAAAGGAGAAAAAGGAACAGAAAGAATATAAAGAAACAATGGCTAAAAACTATTCAAATTTTGTTTTTAAAACCATTAAGCTACACATTTGAGAAGCTTAAAACAACAATGAAAAACTCTAAGTAGGATAAGCTAAAAGAGAGGGAATGGAACTCTTCAGGAGCAAAGCTTTGTATACTCTCAAAATTATGTTGTTAATCTGGTTAAAAATTAAGATGTGATTCCCAGGTAAACTGATGAGAAACCGGTTTAAAACAATCTGTGGTACAGATGGTTTAACCAATCCAGCAAAGGCTCATTGGTACATACAAATATGTATGCACTACACCTAGAAAGATTATGATAAAATTACTGAAAAATAAAAATAGGGAATCTTGAAAACAACAAGAAAGAAGTGACTCATTATATACAAGGTACCATATTTTACAAGTGTTCCCCCAAGGCCCATGTGTTAAAGGGTTGGTTCCTAGCTTATGGCACTATTGGAAGGTGGTAGAACTTTTAAGAGGTGAGGACTAGTTGGAAGTCTTCCAGCCATATGAGGGCATGCCCTTGAAAGGGATATTGAGACACTCATCCTTCCTCTTTTTCTCTTTTTGCTCCTCAGCCTCCATGAAGTAAGCAACTTTGCTGTAATACATGCTCCCACCATAATGTACTGTCTCACCACAGACCCAAAGGCAACAGGGGCCAAGTGCTATGGACTGAAACCATGAACCAAAGTAATCCTTTTCTCCTTATAGGAGAATATACTGAGATTTATCTTGGCTAACACATGTGGGATTCTCAATAAGAGTTATAGCTGATTTTTCATCAGAATTTATGAATGCCAGAAGGCAGTGGATGGCATATTCAAAGTTATGGATCAAGAATTCTCTCTCTGGGGGCTGGGTTGTGGCTCAGAAGTAGAGCACTTGCTTACCGTGTGTGAGATGCTGGGTTCGATCCTCAGCACCACATAAAAATAAAATAAAGATACTGTGTCCACCTATAACTGAAAAATATTTTTTTAAAAATTCTACCTCTAACAAAACTATACTTCAAAAATGAAGCAGAAATTAAGACATTCACAGATAAATAAAAACAGGATTTTTCAGAGCAAACCTGCACTACAGAAGTTTCTAAAGGGAGTCCTTCAGACTGATATTAAAGATCACTAGACAAAAACTCAACCCCAGAAGAAGAAATAAAGAGCACTGGTAAAGATAAGTACATAGTAACACCCATAAGAATGGGACTCTAATTAGAATAAGATATTTTCCATGCTTGTCTAATTATATCCAAACAGATTCTGCTGTCATGTATAACTAAAAAGAACCAATAAATCAAAAAGAAAAGTACATAGTAAATAATATGTGATGAACATACAATATAAAGATATAACTTATGTGTAACACATATGAATATGACAACTATAAAAGAAGGAGAGAGGGAATGGAGCTCTTCAGGAGCAAAGCTTTGTAGAACTCTCAAAATTATGTTGTTAATCTGGTTAAAAATTAAGACGTGATCCTCAGGTAAACTATTGAGAAAACAGTTTAAAACAATCTGTGGTACAGATGGTTTAACAAATCCAGCAAAGGCTCATTGGTACATACAAATAGTAGCAAAACCAGTATGACTTTGAAAAATCTCTGAAGAGAATTAATTATTCATTTGGGATGTCGTTTTTATGAATTTCTCAGTATACATTAATTGGAAAAGCAAGCAAGGTGTTCTTTCATTCATTTTAGATTGAGGTCCTCCTCCTATGTGTCAAACACTGTTTGATGCTGGGTAATCCTGCTTATCTGAGTCTGTCTTGATGAAGAGCATTCCTTATGAACTTGTAACTTCTACCAAACTCCCTTCTGTTATTCTAATTTCATAATGACTCAGTGTCCTTATTAATCACCTTCATACCCAGTCTGGTCTATTTATTCATTCCATAAATATGCTGAATTCCTGTTACATGCTGTCCATTGCAAATGAAGTGGTGAACAAGGCAGACTGAGTTCTTGCCTTATGGAAACTTACATATAATGTGTAATATAATGTTTTGTGTATAATGTAATGATAATGAGTGAATATACCAGGAGGAAAAACAAAATCAGGGTATGAAGATGAATGCTTTTAAACAAGGTGGCTAGGAAAGAAATCTTTAAGAAGGTTACATGTAAGAAGAGATCTAAATACAATACAGAGATCTGGAGAAGTTTTCCAGGAAGAGGAAACAACTACAGAATCTAAAGTGGGAATGAGCAGAGTCTCTTTGAGGATGAGTGAAGCCAGTGTGAATTGGAATTTCTTCATTCAGCAAGTCGTGGATTCAACATGCACCTTCATGCTTCTTGAAGCAATTTAGATCTTTCCCTGTATCACTCTTATTAAGTCACGAGAACCTTCTAATGTTCTTCTTACCTAAGTCTGTGTCCCCTACAATTCCTTCTAAGCTCCATTGTCAGAATGGCTTTTCCAGAGTAATTTTATCATGTCACTTTGCAATTAATAAAACTACTTCCCGATGCTAAGAAGACCAGGTCTCTATACTCATAGAGCTTATATTCTTGAGGGATCAGACTGACCGTAAACAGATAAATGTCAAGATAATTTCAGATAATAGTAAATGTCAAGAATAAAACAGAGAAATAGTAATGGAGGAGACAACCTGAGATGCTCTAGAAAATCTGGGGGCAATCTGTTCCAGCAGAGGAAACACCAGACTCCAAGACTCTAAGGTGGGGCTTTTTGAGGCTGAACTTCATGTCATCTCCATTGGGAAGTCTTCCTCAGTGCTCCTGGGTAACAAGCTCATCTGAGTGACTAAATCAGTGCTCATATTTATATTTCAGTGTTTGTCAAAATTGTCAAGTTTATCTCTCTCCAATAGACTAAGTCTATCAAGTACTAAAAAACTGAGTACAGAAACCCTATCTAAGCCATTCAGCTATCTAAAACACTGTAGTTATTTATAAGTTATCTGTGGAACTGAACTGGATGAAGCTTCATGTCCTAATCTGGAAGATAAAACCATCCATTAATTGAGCTGCAATCCAACTTGAACTCACTCTCATGGCTTCTGTTAAGCCATCCTCACTGTCACTATCTCTCTGGGTAAAATCTGGCTGTTGGCAAACTTTGATAAATCAACATTAAATAAATATAAAATTGTAGAATTCAAATTATTGTGTGCCTCGTTAGAATAACTTCAAGAATTAACATGCATCAACTCTTGGACTGAATTAATCAATTACCTCTCTGAAAAACTGCTTAGACTTTTAAAATTGATACTGACGATACTGACTTGTGAACAGGCTTTATCTTGATTTCAGAAGTTTTTGTTGAAAGATGTTAGTCAAAAGACTGTCACTAATGGAACATTCATTCTATTGCTATTATTTTTAGGTACTTCTATGTGCCAAGTATAGTACCTCTTTCTGGGTATGTGAGGTTAAAGAAGTGCACACATCTTTGTGTGTTTACCTTTGTGGAATTTGTGGTCTTGTCAAGACACAGTAAAAAACAAGAAAACAAACAAACCAATGTATAATGACAGCTTATGATACACACTATTGAAGACACAAACAGTGTACAGGCAGAGAATAGCAAGGGAGACCTTTGCTTTGGGTAGTCCAGGAAGGCTTCCCTAAATAAGTGATTTTTGTTGGGGGGAGGGGTGGGGGGTACAATGGCACATGCCTGTAATCCCAGCAGTTTGAAAGGCTGAGGCAGGAGGATCCCGAGTTCAAAGCCAGCCTCAGCAACAGCGGGGCACTAAGCAACTAAGTGAGACCCTGTCTCTAAATAAAATACAAAAAAAAGCTGGGGATGTGGTTCAGTGGTTGAGTGCCCCTGAGTCCAATCATTAGCACCCCCTCACACAAAAAAAAGAAGTGATATTTTAAACCGACCTCAGTCGTGCAAAAGAGGAACAGATCTCTCAGCCTTTAATAAATTCTAGATAATTTGCTTAATTTTGAGAGGTAGTTCACAATGTCTTGTGGCTATTATATTTTTCTATGTTCTTATGAAAAAAAAAAAGACTTTTTAGCAGAGAGCATTGGTGCACACCTGTGATCCCAGCTACTGGGGAGATAAACAGGAGTTTCACAAGTTTGACGCCAGCCTCAGCACTTAGCAAGACCTGTCTCAAAGTAAAATATGTAGTTCATTGCTTGTCTAGCATATGCAAGGCCCTCAGTTCAATCACTGGTACTACAAAAAAAATGTGTATTTTTTAGCTTTGTCCTACAACTAATCAGAATTCACTGCATTTATAATATAATATGTCATTATAAAATAAGAACACTTACCAAAGAGATGAGGCTGTGTTCTTTATATCCCTTGAGCATGATCTTCATTCATTCAAGTTGGGTTAAGTGACAGCATTTGTAGCTGTGTTGCCTAATGACACTGATCCTTCTGGTAGTTCCAAAAACGCACTCTTGAAATCATGCAGTTTGTCTGGTTAGAAGTTGGTGTCTGTGGATCACCTGGGGACATTCAGGTTGGAGCTTGGTGATGGGTCAGTTCCATGGCCATAGGTCTCATACCAGCCCTGACCAGCAACTCTCAGCTTTGTTCTGTAGTTCTTATCAAGGCTGCTATTTCACAACTTCACAGAGGTGTTGCAGGAAAGCACTCAGCAGTAGGATTAAATGTTTCATTCTGAAGCACTTGAAGCACTGTCCCCACTCTCCTCAGAAGCAGGACAAAGGTAAGGCAGAAGCAGCATGAGAAGCACACAGCTGCTGACGGCTGTGCCCGAAATCAGAAGCCCCTTCTGAGAGAGATGATTGCTTAATAGCTCCTTATGGCTGTGTACCCCTGACCTGGACAGTGAAATTACTGCAAATTCCAGTGACCTAAAAAACACATGCAAGGGACCCTCCCTTGGGTGAGGGAGTGTGTTTTAATAAAGAAGGAGAACTCAATAGTCACAGGACAGAACTCATGAATTCTTTGAGTCAAAATTCACTATAAAATTTCAATTAATCAGAAATTTTATGGAAAGGAAAAGTTTTATGACTGCACTGCTCTATATAGTAGCCACTGGCCACATGTGATTATTAACAACTTGAAATGCAACTAGCACAAATTGAGATATTCTATACACTTAGTTTTGAAGACTTAGCACTGAGAGAGCTCAGATATAAAATGTTTGGAATATATTGGGCTCAGAAAAATATATACTGGAAATCAATTTCATCTGTTTCCTTTTGCTTCTTAAAAGGTGGCGACTAGAAAATTTAAAATCACATATGTGACTCAAATTATTTTTCTGTTAGTCAGCACTGGTATTATAAACTGAATTACCCAAAGAAATCCTTTGTTATTTCAAGATTACTGAAATTTTTTCTAACATGTGTTGTTCATTTTCTGGTTTTAATGAGCAAAGTCATTAAACTCTGTAGCTAATGTAATTGGGTCTGTTTTGAACAATGTGTTGAATGACTGTTCATCATCAAAGCTTTGTTCTAAACATTTCTCAATGGCCTCATTATCCTGAAAATGGGAATAGTGGTTCTTCCACAGTGACCTTGCCCTTGGAAGAGCCCTGATGTTGGGGCTCTCTGCTTCACAGATTTAGAACAAGGGCCTTGGGGTTTTCTGGCTGAGATCTTAAGGACATGTTTCTCAAGAGTTGGGAGAAAAACACTACTTTCCAGAAAGACAGGCTTTTCCATATCATTCTGTGTGACACCTTGCTAATTCATCTTTTCACCTCCCAAGATCAAGCTAACCCATATATTTGTCATAGATTGGGCTCCAAACCCAGGAAGAGCAAGGAAAGCTAGGTGGGTCCCCTCACCAGGAGCCAAGAGGTGGTATTGGGAGTGGAGTAAGGAGCAATGTGTTTATCACAGAGACACAATGTGAACTTATCTTAAGCTGCATCTCTCTCAGTCCTATGGTGGCTTCCCCACTTTTTTACTACCTACAAATGGTCAAGCTCTAGAGGAACAAGTCAAACTGTTCAAGTTCACTTCATACTCCAAAGACAACTTACCAATTTTAATGAAGAAAACAATTGCCAGGGATCAGAACATTTGAGTTAGAGTCACTTCACTCTTCTTTCCTTGAAAAAAAAAAAAAAAGGCTATTTAGAAGAAAATTCATCAACAGGAAGGGGTTGTTGGATAGGCAAAGGTGGTAATTAGGAGAGATAGAATGATAACCCAACCATTTGAAAAGGGATTAATGGACACCCTATGAAGAGTTAAACTAAAAAGTCAAATCACTTAGTGGATCAGAGCAGAGCCATTTCTACTGGTTAACTTGGAGTGAACACTCAGGAAAATAACCTACTGAGTGCATGCATGTCTAATCTAATAGTGAGACAGAATGATACCCAAGCCAGAGCAAGTCTTGACTGGGGTGGAACAATGTGTTAATCATCCACAGACTCACAGAAAAGGAAGAGTTTCAGAAACAAACTCTGACTTTGTTCCATGCTAAGAGAATAGAGGGTGCCTTGACTGGAGGTAACTATCTGAGAATAGCCTCCTCATGCCAATGAAGGCAGAGAGATTCCAGCTGAGGAGAACACATCCTAGCTGTCAGAGTCTAGGTCAACCAGCATCTGAGTCCTAGAAATACGTTCCCTGGTTCTGATTCCAATATCATGAAGCTGATAATTTGACATCCTGTGTACTTTTCAATGGGAAAGACCACGCCAATGAACTTGGTTTGATTATCTAGTCTGCTTAAGGGTTATATATTTTTAATCTGGCAAATTAATTGGATTTATGGTTGCAGACAGCTGTTGAGCATGGAATTCATTCACATTATGAAGCAGAAAAAATGAATTGTGTTCCCTAATGTACTCAAGAGACAGATTCACTAAGTCCACCATTATATCCTTGCTATTTTGTGTTACTGAATTCTACTGCCTTTCAATACACCTTCAGCAGTGAGCGTAAGGCATGTTCAATCTGGCTAAGATGACCCACTTGGAATTTGCTAGTTCTATCAGTTGACCACATGCTTTGGACAGCTAGAGGCATAGAGAGGGAAGAGACTTTGAGCTATTGTTACCCAAAATCAGCTTCTGAATTAAAAAAAAACAAAAACAAAAAAACTTTATTATCAGACTTTTGATGTATAAAATATAAAATCAGGATTATTATTTATTCACTCATGCATTCAACAAACTGAGCATCTGTTGTATTTCAAGGACATATGTTCATGAATAAAATATACAAAGATATCTGCTCTCAAGAAATTTACAGTCTAGAGGGTAGGCAGAAAAAGACTATCAATCCAAAAAAAAGAACTATGTAGTATCTTGGAAAGAAAAATGTGTTATTTAAAATTTTTAAAAATAAAAATAGAGCAGGAGAAGGAAAATCTGGAGTGCTTAACAAGCAGATGGCAAAATTAAAAGGTTTAATTAAGTATTGTCTAGTTCATTTCCACTTTGAGCACAGGCACATGAGAGTAAACAGGTAACCACATATGCTTTTTAAGAGCTAATTTGCAAATACCTATAGACTAGGAAAGAAAGTTGAAAAGAGAGGCATTCTAAAGACATCTCTTCTAAATCAGGACCATTCACTTGAGCCCTCACTGTATTCTCATTAGGAGCTACTTTAGGACCAACCTTCATACACGCTGCTTACTAAAATTATTGTTTAATAGTTGGAAGTACTTTGTCTCTGGGCTATTTACCAGTTTGTATTCTCACAAGTCAGCACACTCCCCACACCGAGAGCCCAATCTCCCCACCCAACCCCCATTCTCAAAGGGCAAGAGGAAAGAAAGGCTTTCTTCAGCTGCCAATCAGGTCCTTCAGTCACCTTCCATAGCAAAAGATGAGGAATTTTTATGTTCGGTACCTCTTAGACTATCTAAGGTTGCTAGGCATGTGGTTGCTCAGCAACAGAACAGTGATGCTCCAAGCTGTTCCCACCCTGTGCTTTTCCAATCTACACAATTAGCAGTTGGTGGGATGGTTTGGGATGCAGGATTCTTCCTCACATTTCCCAGCCATCTACCTTACTTTTTAAAACATTGCAATGTGAGTTGCCACTAAAAAATTAAATTAAATTAAAAGCTGAAGGCATTTTTAACAGAGTTAAATAAACTCAATAGGATCAACAATACAGTTTACCCAATCTCTCAACAACATAAATAGGTACCTTTCAAGGGAATTCAAATCAAAAGCATGACCTTGATATCATGCCTTCCCACTTAGAGTTTGGTTGAGCCAGAATTCAGCCCACAGTTCGTAATGGAAAATACCTTCAGTCCCTCAAGGTCATGCATTCAGAACCCCAGTTTCTGTCAACATCATTCAATATTACCAAGTCTAAACTCAGGACTTTTCAAAGTTAAACATTGCTTATCTTTTCCTTTCTGTATCCTACTTGTGAGGACTAAACAATCAAATGTGTTTGATAAGTATGCCAGATGAATAAACACAGAAAAGAAATCAATTAAGGAAACTAACTTGTTTAGTTATTGGGTGCCTTAAAAGGTCGTCGGTTCTTGGTTATTTATGAGCACACCTGGAAACAGGAGTAGGCTTTGGGTTCTCAGTAGACCTCCTAGAGCATGACCTACCTTATGTACGGTATTAATGGTAAAGGAGACAAGCTAGCTTTTAGGAGCCAGATCTTAGATTTGTAAATGATGTCTGGGGTCATCCAGGGAGGCATGTTTTTTTTTCTCTGAGGCAACCAGCCTAATGTAAAAGTCTGATGCCTTTACCCTAATATAAACCCATTGGCAGTAAAGCCCAGGAAGCCTCAGAGTCTTGGGAGTTCCCTGGTCACCTCATCCCAGTAGGCAGGACTCCAATTACTTGGCAGGAGCCACTCAAATTCTGTAGCAGAGGTCTCTTGGGTTTCTTTAAAAAAAAGAATAGAGAGAGCAGGCAGAGAAAAGTGCTAACAATCAATGCATAGGGCTCTCCAAGACATACTGTAAAAAAGAAAACAAAAAGCCATATTCAGAGTACTTTCTATACTATCTCACTTATGTAATAAACAAAAATAGAACACCTGCATAGGTCCTGTATGTGCATGTAAGCATATGAAAATTAGCAAGTCAAGCTGTCAGCAAAACAGTGCTCCAATTTTTTTTCAATCTGAGAAGTTTCACATTTGCTCCAAAAGGGATAGAAATTAAACATTCAGCACGCAGAGAAAACCCTTGGCCTTTCATATTCATGATTCTCCATCCATGGATTCAACCAACCTCATACTGAAGAGATTTGAAAAACAATTACATTTTTACAGAACACACGCATTTTTTCATTATCAATATTTGCTGAACAACACAGGATAATCACTATTTACATAGCATTTACCTTGTATTAGGTATTACAAGTAATCTAGAGATGAGTTAAAGTACATAGGAAGGTGTGTGTAGATTACATAGCAAATATAATGCCAATTTATATGAGAGACTTGAACTTCTGCAGATATTGATATGTTTAGGGGGTCCTAGAACAAATCTCTATCTTGGAACAGATACCAAGGGACAATTGTATTTAGATGCGTGTTAATTAATAACATATGCACAGTACTAATTTACCAGATAGTCTAAGACTTCAGAAATCTAGATCTTTCACAAATAACTGATCATCACAGCATCTTGTGAGGGTGTCTGTTATGGTTTGGCCATGCGGAGTCCCCAAATGCTTCTGTGTCAATGCAGGAATATTCAGAGGTAAAATGATTGCACTGTGAGAGCTGAGATTTAATCAGTCCATCCTAGTTTAGACTGTGGACTAACTGTGTGGTAACTACAGGAAAGTGGGGCATGGCTGGAGAAGGGTCCCTGGGAGCATGCCCTAAAGTTGCATCTTCCT